ACTTGTTTTAAGCTCTAAAGAAATACGCTTTAGAAGAAACCTAAGTACATAGCATCTGCAGTAATTAATTAGAAAACAGAGAGAAAACAGCAAGGAAGGAAAAGGACAGAAGATAGCAAGGCTTTGAAGTTACATTTTGATACCGACCATTTGCTTTCCCAAGAGAAGTTCCCAGGTTCAAAAACTACGCTTGGGCTTGTGCACTCTTTTCTACTGTACTCCTGGCTTAAGTGTCATAGTTAGAGCTTTATAATCATCAATTTGATCCAGAAGTTGGCTAGGGACACTGATGAGAACAGCAGACTTTTGATACTTACTTCTCCACATGTCAACTCCACATAATCCTATGTGCTAACAACACTAACAAGACTTTATCAGAGAAACCCGCTTTCAAGAGAAGCACACAAAACACTTACCTGCATACTGCACAAGAAACATGGCAAGATACTGATCATATTTCAGTATTTCAGCCAGTTCTCCTGCTGCTCCCAGCCTGTTTATTTGTTTAAAAGATGGATTCCAGGGTTGAGCTCCCACGCTCAGTGTGGCTCCACACAAGCCTCCAAGCTCCAGCTCTAAGCACAAAAGGAAGGCTGGGTCCTAATAACAGTAAAACTACCACTGCGCTGCCCCGCGGGCGGGCAGCAACAACCCAGGCATCAAGAGCACAGGTTGGGACTGGAGCTGGCAAACAACGGCTGCACATGTCACCATCAGTCTCCAGTGACTGACACAGATAGGCGGATTCTGGGATGTGGGGGACGGAGGTGGACGAGCAGGTGGAGAAGTGATTAGCAGCAAGTACATCTGAATTTGCAAGGGATTTCATACATCAATGCTTTTAAGCACTGGCGCGCAGTTAAATAAACCCCGTTTGCATGCCTGAGATTAGTTGCCTTTGCACAGAAAGATTAAGTTGTGGTAATCCTTGACAGTAAGAGGCACACCGCTCACTTTCCTTGATTCTGGAAGCTTGTACTCAAAAGAAATATTAACTTCAGACAAGCTAATTCTAGCAGGGCACTGTTGAAAAAAAAAAAAAAAAAAAAAAAAAAAAAAAAACCCTGAAAACACAGCACTCTAATACCAAAGGGCTATCTGCAGTGTTTTCAAGTGAATGGCATATTTTGACAAATACCTATCCACAGCAGCAAAAACATAGAAATTTGATTAAGCCTTGTATGAGCTGTGCCATTTGCTTACCGTTACAACCCAACAAACAGGAAAAAATTCTTTACCAGTGTGTGTATGCCAGCACAGACCCACCCAACCATGTCTGCTTCCCTATGAGCAGTCCTCAGCAACTGCCCCAGCCATCAAATCATTAAACATTCCACAGAGTGGTTTTAGGATCCTTGCATGGCTCTGTCAAACCACCTTTCCTCTTGACACAACGTCTAGAAATCGTGTTTCACTAACACTGGGATTTACGGGGAGTGAGCAGCTCATCCCCCATCACCTGGGGTGCAGAGCAGGCAGCTCCAGGCTCAGAGGGCACATGCCCGACCCCATCGGTCACATCCCTTCCCATCTTGCTAACATCACAGCACACCCGGAAAGCAGTACCTGCCACTTTGTAGCAAAAGCTCAAAAGCTCACATTTTCAGAAACGTGTTTTTGAAAGGCTAAGAAACCTTTCAGGTAAAGGGATGTGGGACTAACTGCACAGACCTACTGGGGGGGGGAGGGGTGATGAAGAAAAAAAAAAAAAAAAAAAAAAAAAAGAGGGAAGTCACAAACGGAGCCAGCAGTCAGGATCATCAGAAAATCCCAGTGCAAAAACCTGGACCAAGGGGTGAGTGCTGCTCCCCAGACAAGAGCCTTGCAGAGGGACAACACCAGCGTGACAACGTGGCCAGGTTGGAAGGGGCTTTGAGCAACCTGGTCTGGTGGAAGGTGTTCCTGCCCATGGTAGGGGGGTTGGAACCAGATGACCTTTAAGGTCCCTTCCAACACAAACCGTTCTAAGATTCTGTGACCTGAACAGCTTTGTCTCAGCCGAGAGCAGAGCAGCAGGATGGCACTGCTTTGGGACAGACACGTTGGCACCAGAAGAATGTCAGCAGAAAAGGTGGGGATTAGAGGAGAAATCTCACACCATCTTTGGAAGGTGGACAGAATACCTCTCTAGCAACACCTTATCTTTGAAATTACTCAGAGATTGAACTTCATCCCTTCTACAAGCTCAAGTCACCCATACCAAAAACATGACCTTAAGCTAAGAAACCTGACCTTACCAGTGGCTCAGACAGAGCTTTCAACAACTCAACCCAGGGGGCTTTTTAATTAGATGTTACAAAATCCCTCAAACAAAACGTGGAAAAACTAACCGGCTTCCACAGAGGGAAAGAGTTGAAAGACTGGAGTAAGAAGGAATGTGAGTTTGTTGGACAAGCTCCTACCACAGGTTGCCTTAGCATTTTACCCATCACCTCACAGCTCTGCTGCAATGTTCTGCAGGCCAGAAAAATATGGTGTACGATTATTGTAGCTCTGCAAGTGAAGTACAGAAGAGCTAGAAATTGTGTGGACTAATTAGTAATCTACCCAAAGGCACATAACAAATGTGTGGCATTAACAAAAGCATTTCTACGCGGCGTGATCTGAATATATTTTGCTGTTAACAGCTGGACCTCACACACATAACCAAAATATAAGCAAAATAATTAAGACAGTAAGAAACACATAAAGAAGCTTGAGTATAATGCTTAAGGAACCAAATAAATGTGTGCATGTATAAATAATATAAATCGTAGTCAAAGGATCTTTATGGAGCAAGGCTGTGGGAGAGTTACAGCCCACTGACAGCCGTGGTTACTGGTTATGAGCGTGCCCGAACCTAACTGCGCTTCCTACGTACAGTCTGGCTGTAGCAGAACTGATTCAGCAAAGCTGAGTTACACGGCTGGGCATGGCTGAGCCTGCCCAGTGTTCAGAAAGGAGAGAATACAACCATTTACACCCAGCAGGTGTAAACCAACCACTCCTGGAGCATGAGAAGCAACAGCCAGTCAGTTCAGTGATTTCTTTAAATGCAGCTCATTTCTCCCTCCCTCCTGTGACATTTTAAATACCACTGAACCCAAAAGGTAGCCTGGAGACTTCCCACACAGAACAAATCTTTCAGAACAGCCTCCCCACCATCCAAAGGGACACTAGAGGTGTCAGCCCCAGCACCAGGACGCTCCGAAGACTCTCACACAGTTGTTTTTAGATGGGCTGCCCAAAGACACGCCGTAGGGGAAGCCCAGCGCTCGCCACGCTGGACCGACGGGACCGACCAGGCCAACTCCTCAACCGCCGTCTAGCAGGCACAGTC